TTACTTTTAGCGAAATCTGCTACCGCAACAAACACCTTGCTCTATCTGTGGATATTGCAGCTTCGCAGTCAAATAGTGTTGGGTATGGTGAAGCATGCTCTAGTTAAACATATCCCGATTTGGCGCGAATTGGTCGAATAAGAAAAAAGTTATGAACGAAAAAGCGTCAAACCATTTCACCGAAGACTTTTGAGCGCTACTGTGCATAAGTCGTTTTTATTTCATTTTATTTTATTTATTCCCTCAATGATACTTCGAAAGATACTGCAGGTGGGGAAACTGATAGAAGCAAATAAGTGCTCTTTTGATGGTGGGTTGGGGCATAAGTCAAGACACACCTGGTGAGGATAATAATTAAGATTCCCGGCAAGAAATATAATTACCTATTCGTTGATCATGAAATCACTCTGAAATGCCATCCAGATCGTTCTCCCCAATGGTGAAATCATTCAAGGAACGGAATCTTTCCGATTCCCAGGATTGAACGGTCACGCTAAAAATTCTTTCAGAGCCGAAAAAAGCCTGACCTGATCTTTGACCCATTTTGCTGGAGTGGACTCTGCCTGACTATTAATGATGAGTGGCTATTGNATGAATTCACTCTGAAATGCCATCCAGATCGTTCTCCCCAATGGTGAAATCATTCAAGGAGCGGAATCTTTCCGACTCTCAGGATTGAACGGTCACGCTAAAAATCCTTTCAGAGCCGAAAAAAGCCTGACCTGATCTTTGACCCATTTTGCTGGAGTGGACTCTGCCTGACTATTAATGATGAGTGGCTATTGATTTGCTTTTGGGATGCATACCAGGAGGACCATAGTTTTGAGGCATAAAGTCGATGGCAAGCAATCCCTGAAGAAAATTCCAATCTAAGTGATCGTGTAGCGTTCATTATCCCTTTCATAGGTTCCCCCACGATTAAAGCCAAAGTACGAGAGACCAAGTTTCGATGATCCACTGAGGACCCCTCGTCCTTGCTCAGTTGTTCAAGGGAAGCTCCTTGTGAACATTTTACTAAAATGCTAAACGCCCAGCACAACTCGAAATTTTTGAACTACGTTATGAAATGCATTCTAAGGCTCTAAAAAAACCCTCAAATAGCATCAGGCCCAATCAATCAAGTAAAGTAAACGCTCTTCGAACCACTGCTGGTCAAAGATTACTCGGCAGGTCGTGCGCTTGCTCGATAGCTGAGAGCCTCAAAAATAAAAATAAAATATTGAAGAAAACTAAAAAATAAAAAGCAAAATTAAAAATTCAATTATTAAAGTAGTCGATAAACAGAGAAAACACTGTTGTGGCCTGTCGGTATTAAAAGCCTCCAGTGGGTTAAAAGAAGTTTTAGCGATATTTTTTCTTGTTTAAAGAGAAGTTTAGAAAAAAAAGAAAATCACGCAAGACATTAGCGTATATAAGAAGGTTCCTTTTTGACACAAACAAAACGCATGCTTTTCCGGTTTTTCTTCAACAACCAACTGTGACCGCCATTGGAAGTGAGTGACCGTTTATTTTTTCTTATAGAAAATCGATCCATTTCAGGAAGTCGACGTTCTTTCGCATTATGCAATTTTCAAAAAGTCTGTACGCTTTGCGAGTCTTCAAAAATGCTAACAGATTACTAGTAAGTTTCACACTACATAAGGAATATTGGGTTATATGATGGCATAAGACAAATTGAAAAAAAATTTCATTGAGTGCAGGTTAAAGAAGTTGTGTGTTTTTAAATGCGGTAGCTGTGGAAATTGCCTTACTTTTTAAATATTATTCACTAAGTAACAATGTATTAATTATGGCTATAAGTATCCCAGATATTGCAACTCTCTTAACTTCAGTTGAAGATCACCGGAATTAATTCTTGATTAAAATAGCATTGGTGGAGTGTGAACTACTCCGAATTAAGTTGACTACGTTCAATCGATACAGATCACTATTAAAATTTATGTTGGCTTCGAGAGAACTGCCAAGCTACTGTTATTCCGCTTGAAGAATATCAAGCAATTAAACTGAGACAAGTAGCAGTCTCCTCATGCTCATGGACGGAAGCGATCTGGCTTGTGAATCAGCGAAAAGCACGTCATCTGTGGCAGATTTCACAGTAGGAGGGTGTGACGTTAAGTCATAGTGCGAAACTATCACGTGCAGTGAGTGAAGTGATGTGACGGCAATCCCTAGCTTCTTCCCGGGTGATCCATACGTGGTATGCATGACATTTCACGATGGTAAGCAAAGCAGCATTCTGACCGAACAATGCAGGCCGAGAAAACGGCAAGTGCTGCTGCTGAATCATAGCCGACAGAGTAGCCATCTTTGGCACCTCTACAGTTAAGAGTTACCTAGAATGATAACCTAAAAGAATCAGTCCGTTGGTGGAATAAGCCATGTCTTCCGCTCATGTTTACGTAACGCTGATGCCCATTTTGTCTACAGAGTGACCCAGGAGGCTTTATTCGACTTCACGGTTTCTTGCGCAAAACAAGTACACTATGTAGTATAGTATATCATGCTCTAGCCACGAGTAGTCTAGAGGCTCAGCTGACTTGAGGGGAATTTTTTCTTCACGGACGCGCACGTTCCCATATCCTGCAAGTTGCCTCTGCTTCTCATTCGCCCAGAAAGACGTAGTTTGGTCTTAAATGCTTCTAGATTCCCCAAGCAAATATACAGTTTCAATGATGAAGATGTTAGCTAATCAAGGCGCTTTGCGTTACTCATTGTAGGATGGAATGAAACAGCTCCGGGAACGCCTTTGGTTACGTCCACGCCCAGTAAGTTACACGTGCTAAACCGCGCATCAACATATTAAAAATAAAAACTGGTGAATGAAAACGTGATGTTGAGGCAGTCTTTAAGTTCGTCAGCTAACCGGCCTAACTAATCCTTTTCCAGTCGACCGCTCCGAGTGTGCCTCCCAGGAAATCACCATTGATAACTCTTTCGAATGACGTGAAGATGCCCCAAGTTGGACTGGGAACATGGCAGGTAAGAGCCTCATTGATTGATGAGCAGAAGAGAATCGATATTCTGCTGTGGGAATCGTTTTTTGGGGCTCGTTCGCCCTATTCCTTTTTCTTGTACAGTTCCTCTGTTTCTGTTGGTTCAGTGCTCCAAACATGATACATTCTATCGTTCATCACTATCCAGCTAGCCTGCTCTTTTATTTCTTAATTTTTGCGTCTGTCCCCATCCTATACTGATGAAGCTCGACACTCCGGCCGGGCACTCCCGACACTCGTAGACAACGTTGAGGAAGAGGCGAGTCCAGCACACGGACGGCACTACACCCTCATTCTGGTTTTAATCTTTCTTGCTTTTTCTGTGTACGGAAAGCACGAGCATGGGTTCGAGCCCTTTCTGAACCTGACAGTTTACCCATATCCGACATCCTTGTAGACAGTCTCCCCATTTTCCTGGACACTTGCTATTGCTGATTCCCTCCAGCTCTTTATTTCTCAATGAAACTCAGACATGACCGCTGTCACATGCTTTTTTGCTTATCGTTTTTGAGTTCATTATTTCAGTCATCTCCTGACGAAGTGAAAACTGCTGTAAAAGCCGCTATCGAAGCTGGTTACCGTCTAATCGACACAGCTGCAGTCTATGAGAACGAAACTGCGATAGGTGAAGTATTGAAGGAGCTGGTCTACGATGGCAAAATTATCCGAGCCGACATGTTCATCACCACGAAGGTATACTTTTTTGATGGTCATTTCCGCAGCCACACCCTTTGCTACTATTCTTTCCTTGACTTCAGGACATTTAAGCATGGAGAAACACTATTTCAGGTCTGGGTCACCCATTTACACCCGGACGACATCATGAGTTCTGTGCGCGAGTCCCTTCGACAACTTCAAACGGACTATGTCGACTTACTTCTGGCTCATATGCCGACTTGCTTCAACGTAAGCATCTTCTACAGTAAACCCTAAAATGCTTAATCTGTCAATGTTGAAAAAGTCAAGATCCATTGAACATTTTTGCAAAACTGCTCGATTAATCTCGACTGCTTTCAAGTTTGACTTCAATCGCCTCGTTCAAGAGTATTTATGAATGCGTTATTTGTTCCGTAACTTCCGTAGGAGAAGTTGATACTAGTTTGGTACTCTATCAGGACTAATTCCTGATGATAACGAGCTTTAAGTATTGATTTCGAAGTTGGACGAAGAGAGCGAACGGCGGGAGTTTATCTTTGTCTTCCAGAGAATCCTAGGAACACCTGATTGCGTATTGGCCCTTCATACATATCGGATTGTGGGAATCAAACTTCATAGAAGTAAAGGCTTCCACTCAATCCTCGCATTTTACGTCAACATTTCCTGCCCCACCGGTCAAAAAGTTGTGCCCAGAAGGTTACCCTCACGTGGACTATCCTTCGGAAGAAAAGCTCTTCGTAAAAGCTACCCTTGGGATAAATGTGCCAAACATGGAAAGAAGCTTGAATGGTTTCAAGTTCTCACCGCAATCTGGTCTTTAATCTTTTCGTTTTTTTGATAAGTATAAAGTAACTTGTACCTGTTGCGTAGTAGATTGGCAATGACCCTACTCCGGAAATTCAGGGATCTCTTTTGCAGGGTGAAATGACGGCTCAAAATCGTAACGTTGCAGTGGAGGATACGTGGCGTGGATTGGAACGAGTCTATAAAAGGGGATTGACACGAGCGATTGGTGTGTCAAATTACAGCGGAAAACAAGTGGAACGAGTTCAAAAAACTGCCAAAATACCTATTCATAACTGTCAGGTAAAGGGACAAGGACCTATTTCGAGAATAGGATTATTTCTTCTAGTTAATCAGTATGTTTCAGGTAGAACTCCATATTTATTGGCCTCAACACGAATTGCACGACATTTGCAAGAGGTACAACATCGCTCTTACCTCGTATGCCACTTTAGGATCACCCGGTCGAGCAAGCTTCATGCCTAAGTGAGTCTGGAGTGCTTACACACAAACTTCTGCCGATTTATATTCCTAGCTAGTTATCTTGTCGCGCGGTATGCCGCTTAGAACTACCGTCCGTCATGAAGCGGGCTCATATATGTGGTACCAGAGTATAAACTCGCTTAGTATGATGGATCCCAGCTCCACGGAAGTGGTTAGCAGAGGTGCTGCGGCATGTTCGTTCTAACTGTTCTTGGACGTTCACATGTGAGAAGGCTGCTCTGAAAAGATGTAAAGGACATGATTCCGCCTCCCCTCTCCCCCACGGTAGTGTCACTAAGGAAAAATTGGAGAATTCACGATTCAGTGGAAAGGCGACTTGAAACAGCACACCCCTTTTAAGGTTTGATTCCAACAATTAGATCACTGACGACTACGAGCAAAGAGGTTTGTAAGACTCGGGAAGGGGGAAAGTCACTAAAATTTAGATATTTTTTTTCGTGGCTCGATTTTTTCTACATATTCTCCTCAATATAAATTCCAGTCATAGTCAATCCCATCGACGCCAATCACGCTGCTTTCCTCCGGGGATAGGATTCCCTCGACTAACACTCGATGGGCATACTGTACAAGACTTTCTTCATTTTTATTTTTTATTCGGTAACAATCGCAAGGATGTGTATGCCCCTACATTATCGCTTCTTTTCGCACTTCTCATCACTACGCCCCTCCCACCCACTCTTACTGGGGGCACACACTTCTGCAGCCCTTAAGCCCAAGAAAAGAAGAGTAAAAATTTGTTTAATTAAAAGCTACTAATTGATTAATTAAAAGCTAACTATTTGCAGCCAATTTGGTTGGAAAGATGCTCCGAGCGCTTTGGAAGATAAAAATGTAATAGAATTAGCAAAGAAGTATGAGAAAACTCCTGCTCAGGTCCGATCTACCTGAATATTTACCTAAGAATTACCTTAATCAGCATTATGAGTATATTTCTACTTTAGATTTTGCTACGTTACGCTATGGACCGAGGTATTGCGATCATACCGAAATCAGTGAACCCATCGCGAATAGTCGAGAACTTCGAGGTTGCATTTTATATGATTCTGGACGTGTGTCCTCAGTAAAGGTTCGCTTTATAGCTATTCGACTTCCAATTGACTCGTAAAGAAGTCGCGAAATTGGAATCGTCAAAGCACCGCCAGAGGCTCTTCATGAACGAATTGTGAGTTTTCGACAGACTTTCCTGGCTTATGAGAACTTCTTTATTCTATCTGAATCTATTGGAAGAGTTCCTACATCCTTTTAAGACCAGAAAATCACCATCCTCAATCGATGGTGAATCCATAATCCGAGACACATTGAACATGTCAAGGAAAACGGCTAATCCAGACACCCCCTACCCCTTTCCATCCTTTAGAATTTTCCTGGCTTTCCCGTAATCAAAGCGAAAAAGAGGATTCGCCCAAGAGAACCTTTGTAGTGAAGCGAGTGCGAAGCGAGGTATAGAAAGGAGAGAAGTTGCTGCAAGCATGGGTGGGCATAAGGGTTCAAAGGAGTGACCATGAGAAATAGAACCTAGCTAGTATATTACCTTCAAAGATGCACATAAATGAGAGCTGGCTTTTAAAACTTTTTTCTTTTCAGTATAATAATAAATAGGAATTAAGCAGTGATTATACGAAGAAAAACTTTTCTGTTACTGTAAAACAACAAATTCACTGACCTCAAAGGCCTACTCGGATGGGCAAATTTGAAACACTATCGAGATTCCTCGGTCACAGCAGCTTCATTTTCCAGAGTGTTACGTTTGAAAAAAGTGCTGGTATTGGGGAAAATATAGCCATAGCGGGTCCTTTAGGGTAGAGCTAAATTACTAATCGGCGTAATAAAGAATATCACACAAAATTAGCCTTTGCCTTTTTATTTTTTGAAATAACAAAGGTACTTATTCACAATCAGTAGAAAGGGTCCACGAGTTTTCGTTAACGTCAATATCATACATTGTAATTGAGGAATAGAAGTTGATTTCGAAGTGATGAACTGACCATGCGAAAGGGATTGTCCTATGGCGATAAACAGAGAACTCTCAAAAAGACACCACCCTTCTAGACCTTCCCGAC